GAGAGAGAGAGAGAGAGAGAGAGAGAGAGAGAGTTCATGAGTGAGTTAATGAGTGAGTTAAACACCCTCACCTTGCATTCTTGCATGCTATCCATAAGGCATCTCATTGGCCCGAGGTTACGTTGGGATGGGAGAACCGCTAAAAGTAAAACCAGTAGTACTTGGCCCATACATTGGCAGCGGGCCCCTCACGTTAACGCACCACTTCTTTTGGGGCCAGGCCGCTAATGATAAATCTCATCAACGACCTTTGCCGTATTTACATCATCCAAAAGTCGCAGTGAGGGGCCGCCGCCCGGTGTATGGGCCAAGCACTGGTGGGTTAAGCGGGAAACCCCTCTTGAAAAAAGTGATCATACAAAGTGAAAGAACATCTGGCTACCAACATTGTACTGAGATTGAACATTGGGACAGAGGGAAGGCATAGTGCCCATTTGGCCAGCAGAGAGAGAGGGACCTTGTGAGAGAACTCAGGCGGGGAATGGAAAACAAAACGCCATGCAAAGTCGAGATGGACCTCGTGAGAGATCTCAGGGGGGGGAATGGATAACAAAATTTTTTCGCCTCTAGTTGCACTCACTTGCTCCCTCATCAACACACACAAACACACGTCCCTCTCTCGTGGTATCTCCCGTCTTTCCTTCACACGTCTGCATATGTGCACAGATCACCCAGTCCCCACACATCAGTACTGTCTTACCCAAGACCTCAGTCTTTACGATGTGCTACTCAATGCCACTGTCCAGTCACTCTAGCGTTATCCACTCTTGTTCATTGAAATGTTTGACGTATCTCCACCCTCGTTTAAGTGATCCCCGGATCTCCTCTTCGCGGCCATCTCGGCCAATCTTCCCTGCAAAAAATACGCGCCAAGACATGGGAACACCGAACACACATGTAACATGCAGCCAAATTGTTTAGAATTCGGAAGCAGGAAGTGAGCCCATGCGGGGGAAAAAAAAAAAAAAAAAAAAAAAGGAAGCGACCCATGGGTGTCAAGGGGGAAAGATAAGAAGGGCTCAGGTGACAGTAGCTCAGAGAGTAGACTGGAGGCCGAGTTGCAAGAGTATATCATTCGGGCAGAATGAGTGAACGCGGTATCTTACCTGGCAGTCATGCTGCTGCTCCGCCCATAGCGTAAAGGTAGGTGGAGCTCCTCCTGAGCGGCGGAGTCGGAGGGTGGAGAAGTACACCTCCCTGGCTATGTAGTAGTAGTAGCAGGAAACAGAAGGCCTTGGCTATGGGGGTAGAGGGTGCAGCGCCTCATGCCAGGGTATGCAGAAGGGTGAGAGAAGGGCGTGGAGGATGAGGAAGGGGAGAGAGAGAGGAACTGACATGTGAGACTCACCTGTGGGGCTAAGGTTGGCGCTGCATCTACGAGGAGGCCCCTGTGTGAATACCAGTTGGTCTTGGACTTCATCCGAGAGAATGGCTATGGCGGAATGAGATGGGAGAGGCATAGTAGAGGTTGCACTGCCCTCTGGACATCTGTGATGAGCATGGATGCTCCGCCATAGTGATAGTTGCGACCAAGAGGAAGTGAGGTTGTGGCCAGAATGAAGGACCTTTGAGTGCTGGCAGTAATACTCTGCCATGATTCATGTTCGTACATTTATTTGTTGTCGTATTTAATCGATCATGAGAAGAGAAGAAGATGAGATGAGAAGAGAGTGAGGGAGAAGACACTGGTACAACTTGTGTAATTCTTCTTCTTCTTTGATTCTTTTCATATGGTTCAGCTGTCTACCTCGCTCCACTTCTCCTGTCGAATCTCAGCAGTCTTGCATTTTCCCGCAAATTAAGTTTCACTGTATGAATGTTGTAGGATCATCACATGGTGATTGATCTGCTACGATGCTCTCTCTCTCTCTCTCTCTCTCTCTCTCTCTCTCTCTCTCTCTCTCTC